CCTCACAGCCAGGTGGAGTTGTCTGTTGCCTTGCCCTGATGATGTTATTAGGTGTTCAGATGTGAGTAAAATGAGAATTTCTGAGTCAGATAGGTTTTTCTCATCTCTCTGTTACCCCCCACACAGGAACCAAAAGAGAGCCTTTTGTACCTTAACAGCATCATTAAGACGAATATGTAGTAAAGCCTTAATTTGTTAAATGTTTACTTTGCTTAACACTATCAAGTGGGTTAAACTGTATTTACTCTAAAAGAAAATGTAGAAAATCCCTTACCATGCATATTTTAGCCTACTGAGTCATAATGCCTTTCTCAAGTATACTTAGGACTCAGACATTGTGACTCCAGACTAGTTCTATGTTTATAAGTTGTAAGCTCATTCCCGACCCAAGAGGGTGCAATTATGGAAAATTATCCTCCCAAACATAATGACTTAAAAAATTGATCTCACTTCTAACGAATCTTTTTTTGATCACAGCAATGCTATTTTCTACTGAACAAATTATAATTTTAACATAAACCCATTTTAATTAAAAGTAGTTTAATTTTACAAGTCTATTATCACTTAGGTATGTTATAGATATTAATAATATAGATAATAGCAACATATTTATTTGATCAATTTAAATTCACTGATATAGTCTTATTTTATATAATATTAGTATAATTCCAAATCTGTGATTTTACTTTATTTAAATAATCTTCTAACTTGCCATTGATTTGTGGAAAAATTGTGCAGATATTAAGGAGAGTTCCCATATAACCCACACCCAATGTCCCTGATTACTAACAATTTGTATTAATATAATACATTTGTTACAAGTAATGAAACTGTATAATACATTATTATGAACTAATTCCTTAATCTACTTAGATTTCCTTAGCTTTCCCCTAATCTCATTTTTCTTTTTCAAGATACCACATTATGTTTAAACATCATGTCTCTTTGGGCATCTCTAGGCTGTGGCAATTTCTCAGGCTTTCCTTGCTTTTGATGATTTTGACAATTTGGTTAGGTATTGTAGAATGTACCTGAACTGGCATTTGTCTGATGTTTTTCTAATGATTAGATCAAGATGATGAGTTTTGGGAAGGAGACCACATAAGTACGACACTATTCTCATCACATTGTATCAATGGTACATATTATCAATGTGAGTTATCATTGTTGATGTTAACTATGATTTATTTTAAGATACTTTTTAAGTGCTCATGTTCTGATTCCATGGTGCTTGGAGAATGCTTAAAATGAATGGTATGCCAGTCAAAATTTTACCTGTAGGAAAAACATTTTCTGTTGCCAGAGAAGTGACATTTCCAAAGCAGTTTTTCATTTGACAACAGTGAGCAAAAATTTTTAAGTCCTGTTTTATTTATCTTTACATTTGTCCACTGTCTTAAATAATTTAGATCTGACCCAATTTATTCAGATTTTGGCATATCTTCAAAATGATTGATTGGAGCAATTTTAATTTTATATAAATAGAATTTAAGTTATGTACAGATAAGCTGAATGATGGAATGCAAAACAGAGCCTGAAATTATGGTACAGTTTTGAGCATGTAAACTCTTCTTCTGCTCTTTGGAATAAAAAAAATCATATCTTAGTCTCTCTAATCATAATTTAAAAAACAAGAAATTCAAACATTACTTGTTTTCTACAAGAAATGTTGAAAGTTGTTAAACGAAATTTATTCTTTAAAGGAATTCCATGGAAAATATTTTTAAGAGAATATTAATTCCACATTTAAATATAGGTCTCAGCTACAAGAAAAAGTATGCTGATAATAGTCATTACAAAACCAAAACATATTACAAAATTGCATGGATATAATATGCACATATCCTACCTGAACCACTCTGACACTAATAAATCATTTGGGAACAGCAATTTAGAATTCCAGTATTTGGTACCTGCCTTGTAGCCTACATGGTAATAGAGGCCACTGAGACCTTTCTCAGCCTAAAATAATGGACACGGCCCACATTTTTCCCTTTTAGTCACTAGGTAAGAACTGGTGTTGTGGTTCACTTCAGTGATTGTAAGTAATTCACAATTTTTATTGTAAACATCTAGAGCAGCCCACTCCCCATTCCATCCGTAGGTTTTCCATGTGTGAAGGGCTTTCGTAGAACCCTGGGCACTAAAGTTCCTCAAAGCAATTTCCTAATGGCTGCTCCTGATATCTGACTCTAAAAATACAGTAATACAGTTGGCACAACAGTATGTTCAGGGACATACCAGGTACCCACCATCCCTAAAACACTCAAGAGACTGCGATATTTCTTTGCTTAAAGGAAGGGATCATTCTTGTACTCTCAGAAGGTTTCTCACAAATGTTTCTCAGAAGGTGAACCAAGTGTCGAAACTCATTAGACTGTTTTCAGAAATGTTCATTTTAAAAAAACGACAAAAATTTTAATGATAGATTTTGAGCCATGCAATTTTGTCTAACTAAATATTTTTCACATCTTCCTATGAAGTTCACAACAACAAAGGTAAAATAATGGGAATTTTCTTAATATAGGAAATTCAGAAACAATTTAAGCCTCTGAGTAATCAACATTAGTCCTAGTGATACTTTTGTAGTGTCTAACATTACCTTTTACAAAGTAATTGGTAATTTTCTAAATGCTTCAATGTTTTTAGATTTAGAAAAGTTGTGTGACTGAGATGTCCAAGGTCACTTAGCTAGTAAGTGGTGAATCCAGTATTCAAATCCCAGGCTTTCTAGCTCCAGAACTTGTTTTTGTATCACTACTCTAAACCAGATTTCTATTTAGTAGTTTATGTAGATGTGAAGTGTTTTGTGTTTTAAAGCCTAATGCATTCCTATAAAATGAAATATCCTCAAGTTTAATATAATTAATGGATTTTAATTATGGAATCATGATACAATTAACCAAAGCAAGGAATTGAAATTGAAGCATGAGACAAGTCAATAATCTTACAAGCTCCACTTATACATGTTCGCTGTGTGCAAAACTCTTAAGAGCTTTATACACATTTAACCATCCCAATATAAACCACTCTTGGAAGCAGTGATTATCCCCATTTTTCAATCTAGGCAACTGAGGCTTGCAGAGATTAAGTCATCTGCCCAGGGTCAACAGCTCTAAAATGTGGAACGGGGATTATAATAGGGAAGACCAAGATGATTACTGATCTGTGAGCTACTGAAACCAATGTGAATTTTTCCATATTGAATACAAGTGTACTTTATGATATACATTAACTATTCCTGGAGGATTTTATCCATTTTGCACTGGATAAAATAGAAATTGAGCTGTATTTTAAATATTTTGTAGGAAGTAAAACTAAGAAGAAACTGTAGAAACTCATATAACTTGAATATTTTAAAAACTGTATACATTCCTAAATAGTACTTCATAAAGTAATCCCTACCTTTAGTTCTTAGGCTGATAAAATAAATTGTTTCTTTTAATACTTTTGTCCATTTGTGGAATGTTTATCATATGTTCCTGAACATTAGAAGATCATCTTTTTAAAATAAATGCTAGGAAAGACTAAAAACTCTTGGCTATTTTACAGCTGCAATAATTCTTCTTCCTCCTTGTTTATTGCTTAGCAACAGATTATCTGAGGTTGCATTAGAGCCGACAGGGTGAAGGATGAGGGCATGTGGGGGACACTCAGGAGGCACATTGCATGCCTCAAGCAAACTTGGAGAGAATAAAGGACACCAAAAAAAAAAGGTTTTCAGGGCCTAATAGGGATGAAGTAATTTCAGTGACATGAGTGATGCTTAAAATGTTGAGAATTAAAAGTAAAAATTAATATGTTGAAGAACTTGCTTTCCATTGTCTTGTACTTAAGTCTGGAAATATGCGAAGGGACCATGGGTATTTTTGTTTCTCTCCCATCCCTTTTTCTCCTGTCACTCTCTCCTTTTCTTATTGGTTTGTGTGTCATTTTCCTTCTCTCCTTCAATCTTTATTTTTTCATTAAATAATTCTTTCTTCTCATTCCAACTCTTCTTTGTTTAACTGAGCATAATACAGATTCAGACTTCAAAAAATTTTTGTTTTTTTTATTGAATGGAAATTATGTTTAACCTTTCCAATTTTAAAATGGAAAACTTAGAACTTTTATTTTATATTCCCTAGTCTTCAAATAAAACACAATACAAAAGCTTTTATACTTTTTAAACTGAATTTTCTCTGTCTTTCATAAGTAATAAGACCTGGTCATTAATTGATGTTTATGCTTTGCCCAGGCTAGAGTGAGTGCCATGGCGTCAGCCTAGCTCACAGCAACCTCAAACTCCTAAGCTCAAACAATCCTGCCTCAGCCTCCCTAGTAGCTAGGACTACAGGCATGCGCCACCATGCCCGGCTAATTTTTTCTATATATATATATATTAGTTGGCCAATTAATTTCTTTCTATTTATAGTAGATATGGGGGTCTCACTCTTGCTCAGGCTGGTTTTGAACTCCTGACCTCAAGCAATCCGCCCGCCTCGGCCTCCCAGAATGCTAGGATTACAGGCATGAGCCACCATGCCTGGCCCAATGTTTATGCTTATGATGTATTTGATTTAGCATATTTGTTGCTTTAAAAATGTTTTTTTCATGGGAGGGTCACATCAATATTTTATGTTTTCTTAAAGTAGACAGACTTAGGCTCTTCCCTAAAAATTTTATTTCAGCATTATTTAGATAAGCAGTGGCATCTGCATTTTTTTTAAGTTACATAGATGATACTTTTCTTCATCCTGGTCAAGAGCCACAATGGAGTATACCTTCATTTTGACATATATGCTTTTGGGCAGCTATAATGACAAGTGATATTTAGCTGCCTTTTTACTATTACCTAACATAAGCAAAAGAGCTTTTGAACTAGTAGTATTTAGGAAAATGGCAGGGAGTAAGACATGTTAATTGCATACTATAACTTCTTGGTATTAAGCATAATGTAATGCCCAGATCTCAAAGCTAGTTATGGAAGAATTGGTGTCAGATGATACGAAGTTTCATACCTTTTTAAACGATGCATTCAGCAAGCCAGTCATAGGTAGCACCTGAAGAAGTGTTTGGTTTTTCTCCAAGCAGACAAAGAAGACACAATCTTTACCCTGTTGAGAGTCTGCATGTTCTGCATGGGTCACATGGTCCCTTGAAAGAAAGATATTAATAAAATAAATTACAAATTGTCTCCAGTTTATCCCAAAGAGACCAAAATAATAGGTTTAAATATACGGTGTTTGAAAGCTACAGGGCAATCACTATTTTGCAAGCCTGATAAAGACAACAGAACAGTTTCTACATAAGCACCTGTTTGTTGGTATTTTTGGTTCAAGGGAGAAGTACGATATCCTTTTTTAAAAAATTTCAGTCTTTGTTTATTATGGTAATAACTATTATAAAATTAATTAGTGCATATAGTAATAAATTCAAACAGTTTTTGCCTCTAGTCATTCTCTAAGGGATAACCTGTCCTCCCCTAACTAAAAGAAAACATTTATAAATTTGAGACATAATACGCTTATGTCTCATTTTCATTTAATCAAGTTTAAATGGTATTTTCTAACTTTGTGATTTGAAAGATAAGGAATTTATTTTACTTACTGAAACCTTTCTCTTTCTACTCCATTCTCAAATTCCAAGAAGTTATGTCTTTATTTCTAGTAAATTCTATCAGTTGAGTTTATACCTTTAAATAGCAAATACCTGAACCTTTATTTCTTGTTACTTCAACATTAGCCAGGATTTATTGACTCCTTTCGATGTAAGATAAGGAAATCAGCTCTCCTACTTTTTCCTCACCTCTTTTCCTCGCCTCTTATCTCAATTTATGCCAACTGTGCCATTACTTTTACATTGATAAGCCTTAATACATACATATATACATATATATATATACTGTTCTATAACTGTTCTTTTATTTTGTTTATGGTTGAGTAATTGGCATATTGGTAAAATGATAAACAGATACAATTTAACAATATTATAATTATGTAAATATTTTCCATTTTAGAATAAGTAACGCAGTTTCATCCAAAGTGGGAAATTAAACCTCTCACTTAACTTCTGCTACTTGAAGAACGCATGAAGCTAAGACGGAACCTTCTTCTTTAACTATACCAGGTGGTCAAACTCATGCCATATTTTGATTTGTTTCCTGTTTGGACAATTACTATATTGTATGGCTAAATATACTATTTCAAGAAACAAAGTCCCTTTCCTTTTGCAAAATAGTCTAATTTGAACGATTTCTTGTATTCTATAAGCTTTTAGAAGTACTTTTATAAATCTTTCTAAATCCAAAGTAACTTTTCGAACAAAAGATAAAAAAGGATTAAATTTTGAGTCTTTTTATACACAAAATATGATTTGTTTGCCATCATACTTGATAATAGATCATCTGACAATAGAATTTGATTCAATATGTTTTCTGTCATCATGTTGAGAGCATTTAATTGTATTCTAGCATCAAGTATGGCTAAAGGAATTTTAATGGCAATCTGATTCTCATTCCTTTGTAGTTACCTTCTTCTTTCTGGAAGCTTTTAAAATGTTTTTCTTATTGATGTTCTAACTTTTCACTAGAATGGACCTTTTTAGTTGATTTTTTTGTACTTTTGGCCTGATGACTCTTAATGAATTTTCTGCTACTATTGCTTTTATTGTTTCCTTTCTTCAATTTGCTCCTTCCTTTTTGGGAAATGTAAATGAAACTGAATTGGACTCCTTGGATTGTTCCGTATCTCCTAAGTTTTATTTTGAGTTTTTCTTAATACTTTTTCTAGTTTTTAGGAGAATTTTTGACACAAATCTAAAATATAGAACATTAAAATTTTTTTTCATATGTATCTACCTATATAACCATCACCTGGATCAAGGTATAGAACATTTCTAGCACCTGAGAATGCTGTGCCCCTTTCTAGTAAAGTGCTCTTGAAAGGTAACTACAAGTCTAACTTCTACTTCTTTTTAGCAAACATTCTACTAAAATTTTTATTTTGATAACCATGTCCCTAATTGATGTTGTTCTTGGTAACCTATTCTTTCCTATAATGGATTCTCTCTCTCCTCAGATTTCTCTAGGAATACTAATTGTATCCTGTTAATATCCCCCTTTCTTTGCTAAATATTTTCTTTTTTCTAGAATTATTATTAAGAGTTTGGTCTATTCATCGTAATTCCTCTGTGTTGGCAGTCCTTGATTACCAGTTTATCCTTGATTATCTGTTAATACTTATGGATGAAAGACTAGGCTGCTGTTGGCCAGGGTAGCTTCTGTCCTTATGTGGATTTATTTCCCAAACAATCTTCTGTTAAAAGGGAAACATGACTGCAAGCTCTGTGGACATATGTGCAGGCTATATTTTAGGATATATGGGTAAGGAGCAGGCACGAAAGTCTCACTTTCCCTCCACTCCACCCTGATTCTTGCTAAAATAGAAATGGACACCCTGGTGTCCTTCCTCAATTAATTCAGACTTTAAGTTTTTGGTTATAGCTTGGGGATAAACCACTTTGCTTCATATTTGAATATAGAGGAGGAAGTAGGAAAATGTGACCTGTTAACACTGTCAAATAGACCATCCTTGAATTAATCAACTTGATTTTTTTTATCTATTTTTTGTATGTGCCATAGAAATCTATGACTTCCCTACTGGAAAGAAATACTTCTTTTTCTGTTCTAACCGTCTCAAATGAGGGTTCTAGAGTGTGGCTTCTACTTTGATCTCCTCACCATGATAATTCTATCTGCTAAGTGTTCTTCAAATTTAGGAAGACTCTAGTATCTTCCTCTGGTTTTCAGTGATGTCATAAAACTATTGCCTACTATATATCGTTGTTTTTATTGCATTGCATATCTTTGTATTGTATATTTTTGTTTTATTTGGAAGTCAGAGGATGATAAACTCATGTGATAAAACCCTTGTCATGAATTAGAAGATGACAGTGCATCTTCTCTGGGTGTGTTGGAAAAGTGTGAGACTCCATTTTTATTTATGTTGCCCAATGTGACCCTGTCACCCTGCCATCTTGCTATCCCACCAGCCTTGTTGTACTGCTAATATAAATTCCATGCAAACCTGGATACCAACTAGAGCTGTTCTTGAATTCATACAGATGAATAGTAAAGAGAATTCAGAAAGATTTCTTCATGAAATTATCATTTTTTTATTTTAAAACTCTCAAGTGTTACGTTAAAATTTTTATATATATAAATGATTAGAAGGCATGGAAAATAAGTCCTATCCATTGCCCGACATGTAGAAGTCACTTAACAAATTGATAAAATTCTATGAACATATTACCTCTTATAGTTGAAACTAAAAATATTTGTTGTTGTTTAATGTGACTTCCCAGCAGGCAGAGCTGTAATTCTTTATTTCTTTGTTTCCACCCAGGCCTCTTATGTAAGGAACTGAAGGGGAAATAAAACATACAGGATGAAAAGATGGCAACGTTGCCTCCCCCAGGACCTCAGAGTTTTGTCCACTTCACCAAACAGTCTCTTGCCCTCATTGAACAACGCATTGCCGAAGCAAAAGCAAAGGAACCCAAAGAAGAAAAGAAAGACGATGAAGAAGGCCCAAAGCCAAGCAGCGACTTGGAGGCTGGCAAACAGCTGCCCTTCATCTACGGCGACATTCCTCCAGGCATGGTGTCAGAGCCCCTGGAGGACCTGGACCCCTACTACGCGGACAAAAAAGTGAGTCTATTTTGACTTCGGTGATGGCTTTCTACTGGCTTCCTTCTCTACTAAAGATATTTTAAATGAAGATTAGTAGAATTTGGTGAATAGCACATCATGGTGACTAGAATGTTAAATTAAATACATAATAGGATATTCAGAATATATACTTTTTCTTATTTTTCATTAAAACTGGTTCTAACATTGGCATACTACTTTTAAGCTCTTTTTTATCTTTTGGCAGTGTTCAGTATAATGTTGTATCTCTCTGAACACAACACACGGATCCCCAAATCACATGGATTCATATTCATTCCTATTTTCCTGCTATAACTAATGCATGTGTGTGTTTAAACCCACAAATTACTCAAAGGTTTTTAGTGCAAATGAAAATTGATAATTTAAAATGCCAAATTGATAATTTTAAAATACCAAACTAAGTCTTTTTTTGTTTTATTTTAAGTATGACGTAACTTGATCTTGCCAAGGTAAAGTAGTAATGTTATGGTTTTGGTGTTAGCTCAGCTGACCTCTGGTTCAGGAAGTCTCCCTGGTAATTCTGACAGACATGTGACCCTGTCTCCTTTTTACTCTCATTATCCCCCATATCTGTGTGATACCTGTCAATCATGCCTTATGTTAGGGTTATTATGTTCTTATCGTTTTCTAGGAAGTTCCTTGAATAAAAAACCCACGCCTTATTTATGCTCACTTCTTTCGTTGCCTTTTATGACATAGTTGCTCACTATAGAATTGTAAAAAGAATGGAGGAATGAATTGTAAAAAGCATACTGAGATTTAAGTTTACTGAGATTTAAGAAAAAAATTAGTTGTACTCAAGGACTACAAATTAATTTTTAAATTAATATTTCAATGTAAGAGTGAATTTTATGTTAAGTTGTATTTGGACATAACTGGTGGAGTGAAAGGGAATGAGAAAATAAAAGGACATCTGAAAATAATAGATTCAGGTTTGTTTTCTTGAGAGAATACTACCACATAGAAGTAAAAAGCCAGATTCACAAATTTACTTCATTAATTTGGTGAAAATGTTTATTGCCAGAAACCCACTTACAAGCTTATATAAAACTCAGATTAAACAAAACAACAACAAAAAGACTAAGTCAATGTCTTCTAGATAGCACAAGTAATTTGTCTTCCAACTGCAAAAAATGAGACAGGGATTTGAACTTGGTCTTTCTGATGTCCAAGCCAATGCCTTAGATTGTTTTCATGTTTTGTTGTTACTGCTGTTTGCTCGTTTGTTCTTATTTCTTAACTAAATACCAAAGCCATGGAGAATGTCATCCATTATTCAATGGCTATAATAATATATTTTAAGAATGTTTGATTTGAATCATATTATGTTTTAAAAAAATTACCATGGTTTATAGCAGCAAGTCCTTTATGTCTTTTTACTTTTTTATTAGTATTACAACTAAAATAGGGAAATTGAATTGGGTGA